AGACAAGGCCAAAAAAGCTTGGAACAGTCAAAATATACAACACTGGCCCATGTGCTAAATAATGTGCGCCCATATATACAGTATCTGTGATATAAATACTGGTTATTCTTGGCACTACTACCTATATATAGCGCACATTGTCGTTATTTGAAAAAGCAGGTTCAATCTTTGTCTCGAAATAACAGTACGCGCGTACTCTAATTAACGTGCATATACTCAAGATACTGCGCATGTGGGCGTTATTTCGCGAAAATACGGTATATATTTTTTTAATTGTAAGTATTAGAACCTACCGTGAATCTACGAACTTAGACCTAAAATTAGAGTTTAGTCTTAAAGAATTAGAATCAAGAACGAGGTAATAGGGTTCTGAACCTAACACTTTACTATCAATATTAGATGCCCAATTCCATTGAACATGTGATTATCAGACATAGATTACTTAATCCATATCGATATCAATATTTATTTATATACTTCACATTTTAATCAAAGGTTGACTACCCTAGCCCCTTTTTCATAATTGCAAGATACATGTCTTGCTTTAGAAAATATTTTAAGTTTTATTATTATAATTCTATATCCGTTATGTATTAAAGATATTACGTAATATTTTTTTACTATACCCTCTTCCCCCCACATAAGAAAAATTTGATTGGCTATTATAAATTTATATATCAAATATAAGATATCAAAACCCACCCCCAGGATATTACGTAATATCTGTCACTACCCTAATGGATAATCCTAATTACATAATTACCATATTATTTTCATACACCGTTACCATTTCCTAATAATCTTTCTCTTTCCTGGTTAGGATTTATAATATCATTAACTGTTGTGTTGTTCTTTCGCACTGCATCATCATACCTGTCACGATACAATATATAATGCTGAGTCATAAAAAGTAAATCAAATGCTATACTTAGGAATCCAAGGCCCCTGATTTGTTTAAAATGTAAAGGGAAACATTAATAAAAATAAAATTATCAAATGCATAATTAAAAGTAAACTTACAATTTAACTGGATCACCGGAAATTCCTCCCCAATTATTTGTCAAGTAAGCATCAAGACATAGTTGAAATGCTGATAATACACCACCAGTAAAGTCTAATAGAATGTTGTGAATACTCCATCCTACTGTGGATTTTCGACGGAAATTTAGATAGGCCTATGAAAAAAAAGTAATTGTTAATATCAAGAATTAGGGGATTATGTTATTAATGTAAAAAGATACCTGTGGAAGATATTTAATAAGGCTCATGGCTAATTTAATGTAGCTTAGATAATATAACAAGTCAATCCATTGGAAGGCTCCAATTCCAACTCCGATCAACACGAGTACTATTCCGACAATGGAACTAGTAATTAAAATGCGAGCAGCTAGTGACACTTTTTGATCGACACTCCGCTTTATTTTAAAACGAGATTAGAATATATTGCTAAATAAGATTAAAGTATTATTAGGTAATAGGATTAGGTAATAGATGATCACTTACGTACCCTATAGTAAAAGGTTTGAGCCAGTGTGATAAAACTTAGGACCAATGCGTGAACAGAAAAAAACACATCGTTTGGCTGCACTAGATTTTCTTTTCCATCGTTCCTATTGCGATATTCTTTTCGGATTTCTTCGGATGTAAAGAATGCGATATTGAATGCCTTTATTAAAAGAAATAGAGAAAAATTAGCCTCCGAATACTAAAAAGTAATGGATAATCATGACTTATGAATAATACCGAATAACATGCGAAGCCGTATATGTTATACCATAGAAAGTCTAACGAAAGGCCTTGAACACTATATGAAAGGTACGTAAATAAAAACGTGTAATAATGATTAAATCTTGACTTAGCATATACCTCTTTCGTCGCCAGTTTAATATAACCTGGGGATAGAAGCTAATAGACCACGCCAAAAAATAAATCTGAATATAAAATTGTGTTAGTTCACGTGACACTTGAACACTGATTGATGTCATTAACGGTTGCGCACTGCATACCCATCCAATAGCATTAGAGAATCCCACCCAAAATCCGGGTACGACCATTTTTAAAATGAAAGTTCGTGTTTATTTTTGAGAAATAATATTCGGAAGAAAACAGAATCTTTAATTAAATATTGAAAACAAAAACCTGCTTATTTTATAGGAAATTCGGAAGGGAAAAAATTGTTTGTACGTACACATGCTATAATGAAGATCACGAAATATCGACCAAAAATGGTGCAATTTTCGGTAGAGGGCAAACATCACATGACTTAGTGATATGTTGATTATTAATTCTATAACGATAGTCGATGATGTATTATTTTATACACATGATGCTTATAAATACCGTCCTCAAACAATATTCGTGCATAAATAGGTTATTTAATTCGGATATATATATATATATATATATTGTTAAAGTGATTTATTTATTGTCTAAAAAAAATTATAATAATAATGAAGGCAATGAACGTTACCGGAGCAAAAATTTGTGAGGAATTACCTCATCCAGAAACTCGAGATATTGTATTACCAAACCAGTCGGACTATGTTTCTCATATTGCGGTTGATGTATGTGAATACCTTTAAAGGTCATCTCTTTAAAAAATTATCATCACTTATAGAGTTTATATCAGATCGGCGGTTCCTTGGCAAAAGTAGTCTATTTTTCAAGAAAACCAACATCTTCGATAGGGGGTAGGTTAAATTTTACTAAATTTGAAACAGATAAGATAGATGAATGTATTGAATTTATCAAAAACCTTGTGGCTGCGAGGAGGGACCCGAATGTACGAGAGTTTCAAGACAAGATAATTATAAAAGCAACCGGTGGCGGATCATACAAGTATTACGACAAGTTTACCAAAAAAATAAAAGGCGTTAAGATGGAAAAGGAAGACGAAATGGAATGCCTTATAACAGGTAGGACTGATCCAAATTTTAAACACAGATCGTTTCAATTATGTTAACATTGAAATGCTGTGTTAGGTTTGAATTTCTTAATAGCCGAGATTCCATATGAAGTATTTACGTATAGTGAGCATAATACTATGCACTTTGAGTACACTTCCCCCGCACCATCCAGCATGTTTCCTTACATGGTATAATATTTCTTTTTTGATTTTATTTTTTTCCTCACGGAATTTCTAATTAGTTATTATTATCTAATAGTTGGTTAATATTGGTTCTGGTGTTAGGTAAAAAAAAAAAAAAAAAATTTGTCATTACTTTTTATTATTTTACGAAATTCTATTGTTAACTGAATCAATTCTGTACAGTATATTGAAAGTAACTGGTCAGGATAAGTTTGAGCGTATATCTGGTACTTCTGTAACGTATTTTTTTTTTCTCACACGGGAATGTTCTTGATGCTTAATGTTTGTTA